ACTAGGACTTGGGGTAGCACAAAAGACAAGTGTTTGGTGGCAAAAGATAAGTGTTTAAGAAGAATCTGTTTCTTTAAAGGTCAAAATTGCTTTAATTTTATCCCATGGTTATCAAAAGGTCTTTTAACTTTTAACGTTATTTGAAGTGTCTTTATCTTGATAAAGCAAACAGAATACGAAAAGAGGATTACTAGAAATTGGGGGAATACATAAAGTGCTGAAGGGTTGCCTTCATGCTTACTTTTTCTTTTCTAAGATACAACTGGTCAGTGCTGAAGCTTATTGCTTGGATTGATTATGATCCTTTTTAAACTCTTACAGATGATCATAGTCTAATAAACTGTATGAACATTGCAATGGGTGCTGACCCTTACAACTGATTAATATCTAATGTGGTGCTACTGTGGTCTCCAAGCTCTGCAGTTGTCATTGCAATGCTTAAATGCTTTTCCTAGATGCCTCCCTTCTGAAAGTACAAATAATACGTCGATACAACACCAAATTAGTTATTCCTGAAGTAAAATTGTCCTTTTTAGTTAAATATTTGATACCAATGAAGTATGTATCCACACTGTAAAATGTTTTTCTATGCTACTGTTTCTGTTCTAGAACAAAAAATAACAGCATTATCCATGTTTTTTTCATGAAGAAAAGAGATATTTATATGAGAAAGTGGTGTATAAAAACAGGTACTGGAAGCGGGTAGTTTGATGACATATTCTCCCCCCCCCCCCCCCCCAAAATGTGTGCTGATGTGTAATGTCAATTGCAGCTTTTTCATCATGAATTAATTTATACAAAGATACTTAGGAAAATCCAACAATACATTTATAGTGTTTGCATGTAGGAAGGGAAGAAAAAGTACCAAGCCTAATACTGAAAGCCTTGTATTTGGGCTGAATAAAGTAAGAAGGAGTGACAAAAGATTGTGTGACAGATTTAAAGAACTTAAACTAACATGCCCATGAAAGGGAATGGAGACAAATCTATGCTGTGTCTGGATATATTTGCTCCCCGTTTATATTTATATCTGTATCACTTTTTGGCAATTTACAATGCTTTCTTACCACAGATGACTGGGGCAACTACTGAAAATGATATTCCAGCTCCTCTTCTTGTGCAGTCTCTCGTGCTTGTGCTAGCTCATGATCAGCTCAATTAAAAAGCTGATTTTGCTGCAAGCTAAGTGTTCCATGTTAATTTTTCAGTTGGGTTGTCTGCACAGCTGTAGGAGCACAAATGAATGCTTGAGGAGACTTGGTGTGGCAGATTGTGCACTCCAGTCATGATGCTGCATTGTAAGGGTTTTGGAGTACGCGATTTTGAGGATCCTGAGGGATTGCTGCTGCCAAAACAAGATGACCCAGCTTTCACTGCCCCTTTTGTTTCTGCCTCTTTGCTTACAGTCTGCTATTTGACCTCAAGATGGGCTGATTTAACCCACAGATCTTGCGAACAACTTGTTCAGAAATGGGGAAAAAAACAAAGAGGGGGGGCTAGTGTTTCTCCCAGGTTGGTGGGTTGAATCTGCTTGCTGTACAACCAGGTAGGTCCTGGTGCAGGCCTGATGGACATCTCGGGATTGTCTCTCCCCGCGGTAGTAAACTAGTAGATCATCTCGGTTGTCCTATCTTAGCCCTTTAAAGGGGTTCTCTGGCTGTGCGGAAATTCAAAGCCTAAAAAGCTTTAGCTTTATAATGTAGGTTTTATTCCTTTACTTTTTCTGGTGTATTTTTGTGTTTTATTAATGAGTTGAATATGGTAAAATGTTAGCTGTCTGCCAAGATACTTCACATGCATTACTATCTATATGCATTTTAATGAATGTACTCTGGAAGAGACACTGGAAAATCTGAAGAGAAGCAGCCCTGTACTAGTGTCAAGTCTGCTATGATAAGTTTCTATTACAACAGAAATTTAAGCTAATATGTTTCCATCCAATATGTGATAGTAGAATTGTACAGATTTATGATGAAGAGACAATTAATGTATTTGTAGAGATGGTGCACTGCTCTTGCTCTGTCCTGCACCTAGTGTACATGCCCTCCCTATGTGACTGAGTCTTTGTGGCTTTAACCAGAACTGAATCTGAGCAAAGCCGCTGTTAATCAAAAGTTGTGCAAATTAATTTGCTAAGTAATGCAAGTGTTAAGCACACCCACCAATAAAATGTCATAGACAACAGCTTCACATTTTTGAAGGCCGAATAGATTGGGTACTTCTCTATAGCTGAAATTGTGATTTGTTTCCTGTAAATATGTGTGCAAGTGGGAATCAGTCTGACTGAAAAAGACTACTGGTCTAAAGTTTTGTTTTTCTGCCTGCAGGCACCTTTCAAGAAAATAATTTAATTTAACACGATATTTTATTTTGCAGTAACTTCTTTTCTTTTCCTTGAACCATTTGTTTATTGCTTATTAAAAGGCAATCTATTTAAAAACTTGAAATGCACTCCATCTTCATCAGTAAAGCTTTCTCCCATAACTCTCTGTCAGCATCATTAAGCTCCACTAAAATCATTCTAGTTAGAATAAGTCTTCAGAACAACTGAAAATGGATGCAGAAGAGATTTTGATTAGTGTAGTGTAGTGTGTGAATGTGTCTGTAAACCATTCTGTTCTGTTTGAAAAGCATGCTTTTGGTTGTGGTTGATATCCTCTCATAGGTTCGTGCATAACTGTTGGGGAAAATGCTTGTGCTGTTAAACAAAAGCCTACATCAGGACTGTTCCTTGAAGGATAATAAATTATAACTACAAGCACCAGGGAAAATGCCTGCTAGATTACTTTGTGTCTGTGCTAATCCCTGATGATGTAGACAGCAAGAGGCTGCTGATTGTGCCTGGGCTGATTGCAGCTGAGTAAGAAATTGCTGTACTACTGCATCTGTTGACTTTTGCTTGGTCGTCCCTCCCAAACACGCATGAGCTTCTTTTACCAAGCTTTGCGACAACTAGAACTAAAATTGGTGCCTTAGAAGTCTGGTATGGGAAACAGGGAAAATAACGCAGAATTTGTCCCTCAAGTGGTGGAGTAGGATATTCCCCCAGTGTTCTGCATAGGTTTTCTTCTTCTCTGTTTCAAAGGAGTACAAAATATGGAGAAACTAAGTAGGGCACTCTTACTTGGTTGTGCAGGGAAGAACTGAAGAAGGTACAGAAATGTGCTGAGGTTCTGGAAAGTTCACCCTTTCCTCTAGTTTAGTCTTATATGTGCAAAAGGGAAGGGAGAGGAGCAGATGGATGTTCTGGGGAGTGAAGGAAGGAAGAGGGATAATGAACACAGACAGACATCAAGATACCTACTTGTATATGCACAAGGTTTTGAAAGCAGGCTCCTAAGTTCAACTCTTGCTGTTGTGGTGTCAGGCCAGCCAGCTCCAAATTGTGCTTCATCCAAATCCAGTAGAGAAATAGCTTAAGTGCCCAGCTCTCTATGGAAAGCTGCTTTGGAAAAATTGTATTAATATCTGCATCACCCATTTTTCTAGAAGCTTATGAGCTCAGACTTCTAGTGTCCTATACTGTTTTCATGCTACATGCGTTTTGCTGAAGTACTACCTGATGGGTAGACTAAACTACCAGTTTAGTCTTTACATAAGTTTCATTATTTTGAAAAAAAACAGTGATTTTTTCTTGTCAGAAATCAGATTTTATAGATTTTTTTTTTAATTATTATTATATTTTTTTTTACATCTTCCTGTTTTGTGAGCTGTGCTGGCAGAATAGGTTTCCATCACCACCACCAATCATCAGAATGGTAGAACCAAGTTAATCAGTGCCCAGTATACTTCAGTGCAAGACATCAAAACACCACAGACAGGAATCTGAGAAACCAGAGTTGAACCAGGCTGTTGTATGGATACTGACAAACAGGATATACAATTTTGAGCTAAGACCATATAGTTCATAATTCTTTTTAAAAATTATTTTTATTAGATGTCTTTTCCAGCAGTTGTTATTGGCATGAAACTCCTTTTCTGCCAAGTTAGTGCTCCCTTTTGTGTGCTGTGAACACTTAATGCTTTGTTCCTTTCATTCTCTTACCAATGTACAGGCTATTTTCCTGAATTACTTTTTTTCCTTTTTTATAATTCAAAAGGATTTGCTTTAAGCCTTACAAATTTATAGCACTGGGGAGCTTACCTGTACGAGCATTTGAAGTTGTGCAATGGGAACTGTATATTGGTTCAGTAATGTGAAATAATTAGAGAAACTGATTCTAATCTAAACCCCAGTGGGGCTGCTGCTTATTGTGCTGAGCTTCCAGTCATCTCATGAGTCTCATAAATGCATGCCAAGGTGTGGGAAGAATTGTTGGATGTTCTTTTGTTTTGCTCAAATAGGCTATAAACATGATCTGGGGAAAACAAGTGTGTTGTCAAGCTCTGAAAAAGAGCAAGATGGCATCAGAAGAGTATTTGATTTTCAGATTTAGCTGCTGGATACTCCTATTAAGCCTCGTTAGACTGTTTGATCTACAGGAGTTTGTCCAATTAGTTTAGTGTGGTGCATGATTGCCTACCTTCTTAGTCTGTGTACAGCTGCTCTTTTCTTTCTTTTTTTTTTTTTAATAAGGATCACTTTACTTTTAAAGTATCCTTAACACAATTACACATTTTAAAGCTGTTTAACAGAACAATTAAAGTTTTTAAGACTTGTGTCCCAAGAACAACCTTGTCTGTGTAACTTCTGCTTCCTTGAATAGTTTCATTTAAAGTGGTTAGTTCATAGTAAGCAGTTATCAACTACTTGAGCTTGTTCCTGAGCAGTTGTAAAATATATCCAAACCCTCTTTCCCTATATGAATTTTGCATAGCTTAGCTGATCCCAGCGCTCAAGGATGAACCCTGAGGTCAGATATTATTCCAGTATGCCAGTGACTCCTCCAGCAAACTAATGAAAGCATATAGAATTAACAAAGTGAAGAATTGCTGATTAACCAGAACACCAATAAAGACTAAAGATGTCTGTGTAATGGTGACACTTAATATTTTGGTAGGTCAGACGAGTACCAGGTTCCAGTGGTCACCTCCATAAAACAGAAGATGGGGACTGGGAATGGAGTGATGATGAAATGGATGAGAAAAGCGAGGAAGGCAAAGCTGCTGTTTCTCAGGAGAAGGTAACTTTTGTTTGTGTCAGTACATTTGCACTCTGCAAGATACTGTGTCTTAATGTTGATTGTTAGTATTTCTGGTTCTTTAATGCATAAAGCTGCACAGCTCATATCCTCATATCTCACTGCATTTGTTTTCCAGTCACGGAGAGTGAAAGAAGAGGAGAACACAGAGGTAAAAATGTCTTGATCAATTACTTTTTCTTCCAAGTGATTGAGTGAAGGGATTTCTTTTTCATTTCTGTTGTTAAAAATGTCAGTTGAGGCAGGAATGTTGTTCTGCAGCCTTGTGTGGCAAGTACTTGTGAGGATAGAGCTGTATGCAGTTGGGCCTGTAACTATTAACTTGAGCACACACTGGATAAAATGGATAGGAAGTTTAAAGTCATGTTACATTCATGCCCAGGAGAATTAGTTAAGATAGGTAATTTGGGGTTTTTTTTAATGAATCTTCATGACTGGATCACACTAATTGCTGTCTTTTTGTCAGAGTAATGATGGCCATTTCGGAGTAGCTGGAAGATCTTAAAATAATTTTTCATTCTTAGGATTTGTATCACGACATGTAGCTTGTAATTAAAATGCTTCATCCAGTGTACAGTAAAATAATTCCGTACTGTGGCATAGTAGTTTAATTCAGAGGAATAAAATACCATATTGAGTTTCATGGCCCTGTGCTGAGAGTATGGGAAGCATTACTGCTATAAATAATTGTTTAATAGGATTACTGGCTTACAGCCAAAGTGCTCTTTTAAAAATGTCTATTCCTTGGGCGGGTGACACTTGCCACTTCACCTGCAATTTTAGATTCTCTCGTTTTCATTGGTGTCATAGCAACCTTCTAGAAGACTAACAGCTTCCTGCCAGGTTTGGTCCTGTTAGCTCCTGTGATGACCCCAGTCTTTCCGTTGCAGACCTAGTTTACATAGTGCTTTAGCATCTGAGATATTTTATGTAAGCTGAAAAAAAGCTACAAAAAAAAAAAAAGACTTTCACCAGACAGTCTTTTTCTGTCTTAGAAATTGAGAATTCTGCAGTTTGTGACTCAGTTTATACAGGTAACTCTCTTATTATGAGTTGCTTAGTTTATAAAGGAGAAAAAAGCCTCCACTTGAAGTCTTCTGTTGGTTTTTGTTTTCTTAAATGCTCCAGAAGATGACTTGGAACTGAGACTAGTCCAGCTTGACACTGTTGGTGTGTGCCATTGGGCTGCACATTCCTATACGCTGAAATAACAGGTCTGTTGAAGATGCAGAAATAGTAGTAGTAGTTTATATGAATGGAAGGAACTTAATTGAAGTAGAAAAAAATCTACTCCCCTTTTAATGATTAAATAATTTTCCTGATATTCATTAACTTTTGTTTAAAATACACAGATAATAAAATACAGATCTTGTGTAACACTTTTTTTTTTTGAAGTAGCTTTAATGTGAAAAGCTGTTGGAAAACAATCAAATGAGATTTGTGATGCAAGTCATTATTTTGGAGGACTTGACTGTAACCTTTGAACAGGCTTCTGTGAGTGGTGACAATAAGCCAAGTTCGGTATGAAATCATAGTAGGGTAGAGGACCTGGAGGTACTCTGTATGTAGGATACACTTTTGCTTGAGAGTTCAGATAAATGTTAGTTGAGGGCTGGGGAGGGTATCACAGTGTGAGGGAGGAGTGATAGTGTGAAAGAAACCCGTATTCCTGATTTTTCTCTGTGAAAGACATTCTCCAAGCTGTGATGCCTGCTTTGATATGCTGCTAGTTCTTTGCAGATGAGTAGATGCAAGACTTCCTTAACAACCAAAACTGTTACACAAAAATAATGTGAGTAGTAGCTTGGTATTCTCACTGTGTGTGTATTATTCAATAGGTTATTGGAGCTTTGATGCAAGGTGGATTAAAAGCCCTTACACTCAGTGCTTTAATGCAGGCCTTATCATTTGTATCTCTGTAATTGAAATATGGCAGTTTTACTGGTATCAGCTATATTTTAGACTGTGTTACTGAAAGTGTTTAAAAGGTTTTTGAGAGTTAGAGGATGTGTAAAATATTCTGTGCTAACTTCAAACTTAGCATGGCAAGTATTTCGGGACTTTTTTTTCCTTTGGCATTCATTATAAGACACTTACTTTTTTCTTCAATAGTCTCAGCCTGCTGTTAGTGATGAATATAGTGAAGTTCCATGTGCAGTGAATCTTGTCTTAAGATTAAGGTAAGATGTTCTTCTATTTATTTTGGCATTCCTTTTTAGTTGTCTGTATTATTCTTGATCTCCCTCATTACTTTCATAATATTAACATAAAATAAGTGTTAACCTCTTTAATCTCCCAGTATGACCAGTATGAATAGTGTTTCTGTGACTAATTGCTGTCTTTTAATTGCTTACTGAAATAGTGTAAAATGAAAAGCAGAATATGAATGTGGCTTCAGGCTAAGTGTACCCTTCATTAAGTATTTTCTTTCTTTTTTTTCCATGTAATGCAGGATCACAGTGAGAGATTTTTAATGAGTTTCTTTCACACTTCAGCAGTCGGCCTCTGACAGAAATAAACCATAGCTGTATTACAAGTTGCCTACTCAAAACATTTTTCACTGGCAAGTTTAATCAGCCACTGTGGAGAAGTGACAGATATTCCAGAAAATGGATACAAATATGTTGTCTGACTTTAAATTTATACATAGCTAAAATGAGTCAGATTACCTTTAATTAAAATCAGTGTATAACTAAGATTTGAATTGTTTAATTATGCAGTCTAGATCTTGGATAAAAGTATTTTTTCATAAGAAGCTTTGATAACTTTTTATATATGTACAGCCATTTTCCTTAAGTGGCCAACTTAGTTTAAAAAAAAAAAACAAAAAACAACTTACTGCCACTTGCTTTAAAACTTGTTTACATCCAGTTTGTATTGACAGGATTTCTGTGAGAGGCTGTAAACTCTTAATTATTCCTATGGGGAAAAGTTAAATGTTACGGGCTTTTTATGCTAACAAAAAGATAAAAAGTCAACTAGAGAAATATTTACAAAATTACAGCCACTATGTTAGAAACAAATAGCAGATACATTCATAACAAGTAGCTTTAAAACAGTAACATCAAAACCTGATAGTAATCAGAAAAAAAAAATCTACACAGAATGAGTGCCAAGTTCCAAAATCTATTATCTTCCCTTTTCTTTGACTACTTTTCTAGTGACAGCTGCAAAATACTGCATGGCTGCCAAAGGTTGTTTACTGAAGTGAGGAGTAATAAATTTTATTGTGGGGAGAAAAAAGACTTAGAGATTATTTGGAATCAGTTTAGTTGTCCAATTTACATAACTGCCCAGTTATGCTATCAATATTCTTTTTCATCTCTCTACTGACAGACAGGTAGATGAAACCATTTACAAAACAGACCAATTTATACTGCTGTGTGGATGTACTAGTGAGGTGCTCTGGGTGTTTTTAAATTACAATGAAACCTATAGAGTGATTAGCTTCTACCCAGTTACTTGCAGTGTTGGCATATCCACAGGGCAAACATTTTCATCCTGCAAGTACAGTGAAATGTCAGGGATTATGCTTTCAGTTTTTTGCAGCCCTTAAGCTAGCAGTGAAGGAAAATTGATCCTAAGAGACTTGAGTTTCCAAACTCTTATTTGCACGATGAACTTTTGTTCTTGTTAAGAATCCTCTTAATTCATGGGTGAAAAAATTTCCTCTGTGTACCCTCCCTAAAAGCAAGCCTGTAGTGACTAGATTAATGTGTTACAATTATGAAGATTTAGATGGTTATTGATAGAGAGGGAAGAAACGTGGATTTCAATTTTATGAACCAGAAAGTTTCCTTTAAATAAAACAAAATAGTCTTGAACAGCAGATACACTCTGAGGCCTGGGAACACTGTTGGCGGTGTTGAAAAAATCAAAAATCTGATGCATAATTTTTCAGAGTGAATTTTGTTCATTTAAGCTGACCTACTTTTGAGGTAGGAATCCTCTGCGGTGCAAACTCCTGGCCCCACGTGAGCTCTGGCTGTCTGCTAGGAGGTGGGCCGAGTTATGCATCTTTGCTCTGTGTGTCTGGGTTTCCTTCTGAACACATGAGTAGGGTCAGAGCTAGCGCGTAATCAATGTGTGTGTGTGGATGGTTGAGGGGAATATAGGAGTGCGGGGTATACCAAGCGGCGCTTTTACTTTAGTTGGAACTTTGCGAAGTGCATATCTGAGAACGAGGGCTACAAGTTCCCTGTACCTCCACCCAGTGGTGTAGATTCAGAGTTAGTACTTAAGCATTTCTTTATATTTGATGCTTTAAAAGCAAGAGTTATTTTGTTTATGGAACACTCACAGAAATTCAGGGTAGCCACTGGCCAGCTGCTGTATACATTGTGTTTAGCAAGGTATCTGTGATGGCATTTGAATAGGTGTGCTTCCTCTCCACTATTGACCCCAGGAGAGGAACAGCTGAGGCTGAGGCTGCCGTGAACATGGCAGGGTTGTGCAGTCTGCTGCGTGCTTGTCAAGAATTACATTCTAATGTCTTGTTCTTCACTAAATTAACAGAAACCCTATTTGGGGAAAGGAGCTGATGATTATTTGTTAACTTTTCATAAAATACTTAGGTTTCTTCCATTATTCGATTACCTGTGGGGAGTTGTCTCAGCTCATTCACCTGTCAGCATCAAGTATCTGTCAGTATATTATGTTAAAAGCTTTTCACCTTTGGCCTTACTTTGGGCACATTAATAGCGGCCCTGGCCTGGCAGTGAGTGGTTGCACCTGAGGGTGGAGTACTCCTGGGTTCTGCATTTTTGGGTCTAGGTCTAGCTGCAGTGAGTAAATTTGGACAAAGCCAGCTCTGGAGAAATAGCAACTGTATAGTGCTGCTTTAGGGGCATAGAATTCGGAGTCTTCCTCTCCAGCCCCAAAGAGTCTGAATACTTGGACCTTACCAGTCTGCTAAACAAAGGCCAGAGTAGGTTTGAGGCTGGCAGTCCTGTGAAGTGTTGACAAGCTTTTACCATGCCAGGTAATTAACTGACAAGCTACAGAGATGCTGTAGAAGATGACAGTAGTGTTCAGAATATTAAAGTGTTAGTGCTTGAACTATTGCTGTAATCTCTTTTGCACTAATTCAACTGTTTTTTCTGTTTTGTTAGTGGAAGGGCAGTTGCATGGAGTTCCTTCATAGAAGTCTGAAAAATAGATTTCCCGTATCATAGGCTGTAAACTTGGAGGCCTTCAGTCAGTCATATTCAGGCCTGGGTTACAGAGGAAGCTGCCCTCTGCATTTCACCTGTCCTTATGCTGGCATTGTTGCAGGGTGAATGAATGTTTAGGGTAGCTGTATATGGAGAAAGATGCTCTAGCCCCTAACTGCTCTCTGATGTAATTAACTTACCAAGTAAACATTTTTTTGAGCATCTGAAAGTAAAAATACTACTATTTTTGGCATTTGTAGTGAATAAAAGCAGTGTAGATGACTTACGTGTGTCACGCAGCATTCCCTTGGGATTGTAAGGTAGTAAACAGCTAATATCCTCGCAGGGGTTTCTGTATTTATCCACCTCCACTGCAGATTTTAAAATATTCAGTTGATGTCTTTTGGGTAATTGATCATTAAGTCATATAGCTGATAAAGACTTGAGCATATCAGAGAATTTTTATGGGATTTGTTAAAATGAACTGTAAGTTGCGAACCATATTATTATGGAGCAAGTTAGCTACAGTGTGAGGGTAAAAACAATTTCCTGTCATGCTTCATCTACTACTATTATATAGCTTTTAAAGTATGGCTTGATATTCAGATAAACATTGTGAACATTAGATGCCAGACTTGAAGTCTCAAACCTCAGTATACCATCCAAAATGTTGGAAGCTTTTTCTTTTAAAATAATTCACTTGAGGCAATCAAATTACATAAACTGTAGTAGCTTGATGAGTTCAGAACACAGTGGTTTTAGATGCTGAGAATTACTGTTTAAAAAAAAAAAAAGTTCAGTACTGATGTGGGTAAAAAGGTAAATCCTGGCAAAATACAAGAGGAATGATTTGACTGATGAGGAGGATGAGAGGGGAGGGGAAGTAAATGCATCAAGAGAAGGCTCAAGGAGGTCTCATCTCTTCATTACTTTCCTTTTGCATCTCCAAAGAGGGGCCATGGGGTAAGGTGATGGCAAAGGTGAGCATCTCAGATGGGAAGGAGTGTTTCCAAGGCATTTCCCCAGGGTCCTCAGGCAAGAAGGGATGCTGGAGAGAAAACTCTGATGGCACTTGCAGTACTGCTGAGTCTTTGGCTGGGGAGCTACCTTGGTTGCAGAGAGTTTGTCATGGAAGTTGAGCAAACATTTAGAGCCTGATGGGTAGAAACAACTTGATATGAGGCTTGGGAGTGTCGGCCAGAAGGTTTGATGAGTAGTGTCTGGAGATTTGGGACAGGGCAAAGCCTAGGGAGATGAGCAACCTTCAACAGGAGAGAGAAAACAACAACAATAAAAAAGTAAATGTTCCTCTGGCTTGCTTTTTCCCCTCTTTTACAAAGAAGTTATGCTACACCAAAACCCATCAAATTTTAGATGATAGATTTGCATTTTTTCCTAGTAGTATGTTCCAGAAAAGGTTAGCAGTACCCATAAAAATTAAAAAATTACCTTCTCAAAGGAGGAATTCTGGCAAAAGAATCAATGCATTTCAGTAACTCTTTTACTGGATGGTCAGGTTCTGTTATTTTTCCCAAGCAGAGCAGGGTTGGACTCATTCAGTCATTGAGTAGGGAATGCCAAATTAACATCAGCCTCTGTTTAGTGCAAATGCCTTGTTGTGGATGAGAAGCACAACTCACATTCTGAAACAATTTTTAAGGAATCCCATGGCACTCGTATAAAGAGTGCTGATATTTAACTCTGTTAGTCTGGACGGTTTCCAACTTTAGTATCTGATTTTTCTGTCCTTAACTTGTATTTAATACCTTTTTGTTTTAGTAGTTTTCTCAGTGAGACTAACTTGGAAAAATATTCTCTAGTGTCAGAGTTGCTTCTTCAGTTGGAGATGGCAATTTCCAATTTATTTTCTTTTGCACTGTGGTTTCTTGGAGTATGTTGGCCCAAAAGTGAAATTAGCAGCAGTGTGTTTCCATGCAAAACTTTTGAAAGGCTCTAGTATTAAATACTTAATATAGACCAGTATTTTAAAGCTCAAGTTTAATTAAGAGGCTGTGCTTGAATTTTGC